GCGGCTGGATCTGAATCGACGTCAAATGCACTGTCTGTCGGGCTAATTTGTTTTCATTTGGTCTGTCAAACAGGAACTGAGCATGGTCTCTAGGCCTATAAGCAAGAAGTTGGCTAATCTTACAGAATGCTCTAATAAGAAATCAAGTGTAAGTTTCAACACTTGAAAGAATTTTTGGTGAAACTGGAACCAACTTTCTTAACGAATGTGTGAATATCAAATCTTGGGGAAAGAAAGAATCTGATTTCTCAGAAACAATAGGTAGTAATGTTGATTTTGGTTGATTCACTGACATTGATTGATGCTATATAACATTGAAGAAGAGGAGCATTGAAGAAGAAGAAGAAGAAGAAGAAGAAGACCAGTACTGGGAGGATGAGGAGTGGGAACGACTAACTGTCTAGAGGAGGTTGGGAAGACGAAGAAGATTGGCACCGGTACTAATTTGAATAAGAATACTACATATATGGATGGCACATGGCCTGTGTGAATCTTTTGTTTAAAGTCTCGTCTTTGAGGTTACATTTTATGAACACCTTCTTAAACGATACCAATCCTTTTATTCTAATAATATTGCCGGCTGATGCTTTTTTATTATAATTAACTAGATTTGGACTCGCACGTACGTGCGGGGTTATATTTGTAAGAAGTTTAAAATAATTTGTATAAAAATGATAAGTGATAGTTACATGTATATTTTATAAGCTAATCAAAACATTTATCACAGTTTGATTAGGGGTGTTACAATCGTATTTGGATTCGGTTTTAGTTTGAGTTATTTTACTTATATGCTGGAACGGGTATATATGTCCCGTCTCTTCCCGTCTTGTTCTGTCCCATCTATTGACATAATTTTTTGGTCCCACAACCGTTTCCATTTAAATAATCGTTTGCCATTATTTGTTATAAGAGACTTGGTAAGAGGTTTAGACAGAAATCCATCTTCTTCGTTTAAATGTTTATTTTATTAAATTAATACATATTATATATGCAAAACATCTAATTCCCAAAAAAATCTTGAAGTATATTTTAAAATATCCAAAAAAAATTAAAATACACGTTCTAAACCCATATTCAAATAGGATTTTCGGATATATATGTTATGCCAAGGCCTTCTAATAATCACACACCTTAACCCGATTATTAACGGGTTTGAAGTTTGAACAATAACGTGTACCCTGACTTTTTTTTTGTTCCGAAGTCTCTAAAATGAAAAGATGATGTTTATGTTGTGTCGGTAACGAAAAAATATATGACAATAAGGTTTTTTTTTCTAGATTTTAACACGTGGTGTACCGCGAGATTATTATTTTTTTTTTAAAAAAAATTATTCATGTAATTTATTTGTTGTTTTATGTTTAGTTTCTTATCGTTTTCTAAGTAGATGTCGAATGTAGTTTTCCGGGCGCATTTCCCGTTAATTGAAAAGTTTGTTAATTTTACTTGATAAATATGAAATTTTGTTTTAGACAGGTATAGGAAAAATAGAGTAATTTTACATCGTCGAATATGTCAAAAGTTCTTTATGTAAGTATATATAAAATTTGAAACTAAGTTATACAAGACTACTGAGAAATTAGTTTTTAATATTCAGTTATAAATTTGTTATTAAAAGTACATAAAAGTTGATGATGCTACATTTTATTTCCTGATATTTGCAGTCACTTTGTTTTTCATTTGTTGGATCTTAGAATTACCTGTAAACCTACAATGTATTGGGTTTTTTTTCTTCTAATTTCTAAAACTCATTAAGAAGCATATAGGGCCAATAACGTGTAGTCGTGTATACTAAACTTAGTTTTTCGTTTTTCTTCCCCCCAAGGTCACCGTCTCTATCTCTCCCCCATTTTTTTTTTGACAGCAGTCTCTATTCCTCCCTTGTCAGATCAATTTCATATGGAGAAAAAAATAAAAACCTATAAATTTGAAATTCAGGCGAGTAACCTATTTAAAAAAATGGTCATTCAGACTACTTGTGGATCTTTGCAATTAGTAAGCTTATTCTTTTTCGTAATCATTTGATTCTATAATGACAAAAAAAAAAATCATTTGATTCTATTAGTTTGTTTTGAGCTATGGGTATTTTGAAGTTCATGGCATATTGGATTACTATTCTATACAACATGCACATAATACAATCCCGCACGTACGCTTTTTTTTGTGTAGTTTTGATAATTTCAGTTAAGCTTCCAAATGATATAACTTGAAAAGCGTCTGAATATGTATATTGATCAACTACAACGATTCTGTTGACCTGTATCAGATTTAAAGTAACCCTTTCTCATAATTCAGCCTGTTTGAATCTGAGCATAATTAGAAGCTTGTTATCAAGCTTTAAGATAGAAAATAAGATTCAACCACCAAATATATTTTTAACCTTATAATTTGCAATTTAAAGATTTTGCTATAGCCAATGTTTTTAAACCCGACCCGGGATGGTGAACCGGACTAGCTTCCGGGTCACCGGGTCATCGGGTTGACCGGGTTCGACCACGGGTTAATTAATTAAAATTTATTTATATATTTATACTTTTATGAAAGATCATAACATATTTAACAAAATATAAAGTCTAATAACAATAATAATAAAGAGACTAAAATTTTAAATCTAGAAAAAGTATAAAAAACAAAACACACTAATAAAACATCACAAATCAAAACATGAACAATTAGCAATATATATTTAACATCAGATAACCATGAATTCTCAAAAAAAAAAAAAAAAAAGAGAAAAAAAAAAGTTATGATCAACTACGAAAATAATGTATTGTGTGTTGATTGAGAAGGTTAAAAAGAGTTTTAAAATAATTAAAATCTTAGATTTTACTTATAATTATTTTCAAAATCATAATTTAA